AAATTCACAGTAAAATATAGTTAATTCTACAAGATAATACTGTGAAATCACAGTAACAGACTTTATTATCTACTGTAAAGTTACAATATATGGTTGTAATTTCACAATAATTTAATGTGACAAAACCACAGTAAATTACTGTGAACTACCTCACAATAATTTACTGTGAATTTACATACAGTAATTTACTGTGAAAGTAATGCAATTATTAGCCAGTAATTTACTGTGAATTTAAGGTCAAATTTTTTACAGTGTAGGGTTAATGTTCTACTGAAACAAAAAAGTCACATCTTGGATGACCTGTGGGTGCGTAAATGAACAGGGAATTAAATTTTTGAGTGAACTACCCCTTTAAGTGTTTTTTAATGCAGTCAGAGACTGTATAGAGTGAGTGCAGGCTGGTTTTGCACTGGCACCGCTGGCAGACTGTAATGACAGGGCAGAAAGGCCACAGAGATCTTGTGGGAACAGAACGTCCGGCACACCCAGACCCGCTCAGCCATCCTCACACATCTACAGCAAAGCAGATCCCAGCACTAACCTTTTACTTTACTGGGTTTGAGTCCAGTCAGCTGAAAGCATGGAACGATAACTGGTTTCAACGTTTACCGCGGTTTGCAAAAGTCAAGGTTTTAAAACCGCTGAAATGTTCTATGGGATACAGCTGAAGTCAAAATTATTAGCCCTCCTTTTGAAATTAGTAAAAGTACTAAAAATTCAGTAAATCCAGTGAGTCATTTTTCAGTGTGCATACAGCTGCATATCTGGCCATTTTCTCACAAACATTGCAAGTCTAAGATATGCAGTCTCAGCTTGCAAATCGCAGTCTGCATCCAGATACTATTGCGATTTTCTCACAAATGTATCCAGACAGACTTTCTCATAAATGGAAGCAGGCGTATTGTGCATTCAGGCAGATTTTCTCACAAATGCATTCAGGCAGTTTTTCTCACAAATGCATTCAGGCAGGTTTTCTCACAAATGCATTCAGGCAAATTTTTTCAAAAATGCATTCAGGGAGTTTTTCTCACAAATGCATTCAGGCAGTTTTTTCTCACAAATGCATTCAGGCAGGTTTTCTCACAAATGCATTCAGGCAGATTTTCTCACAAATGCATTCAGGGAGATTTTCTCACAAATGCATTCAGGCAATTTCCACTGTCCGTGGTGATTGATATAATGGCAGTAAACAGTGACTGGTTAATCACATTAAAAACAAACGCATTTACAAAAGAGTCCAAATCAAAAGTCATGGTTCCTGATGACACACTGAGGTTTAAATGCATAGCCTGGTCATTTGTGTGAACGAAGTCCAAATATAGTCTGGTCACATTAATAAATAAAGCACAAGGATGCGCCAATAATATTGTACATAATGTTTAATTTCTTACACAGAGTATTTATTTTCCATAATGTTTTTCTTATGATGAAAGTCTTATTTTTGCTGTAATAAAAGCAGTTTTAAATCTTTCAATAAGAATTTTAGGTTTAATATTTTTAGCCTCCTTAAGAAATCATTATGTTTGATTGTTTACAGAACAAACCACTGTTATCAACATTATAACCTAGTTAAGCCTTTAAATGTCACGTTTAGTTGAATACTAGTATCTGAACAAATATCTGGTCAAATGTTATGTGCTGTCATCATTCATTCATTCATTCATTTGCTTTTCGGATTAGTCCCTTTATTAATCCGGGGTCGCCACAGCAGAATGAACCGCCAACTTATCCAGCACATTTTTATGCAGCGGATGCCCTTCCAGCCGCATCCATCTCTGGGAAATGCTGTCATCATAGGAAAGACAAAATAAATTAGTTATTAGAAATGAGTTATTAAAACTATTTTGATTAAAAAAGAAAAATCTTCTCTCCCTTAAGCAACACTTGAGAAATATTCTTAAAAGAATGACAATGGTACCTGCATGTTTGTTTCAATGCTGTGTCTGCATTGATAGAAATGATTCTCAGGCAATTCAGGAGATCAGCTCCTACATCTGTTTTTTTTGTGTGTGTGAAGATGGTCAATTCCCGTAATCTCAGGTGAGTTTAGTGCGTCTGTAATTTCCCTGAAGTTCCAGAAATGCTGGTATGTGTTCACTCGTCCATGTCGGGATGGTCAAAGCGTGGGCAAATGTTTGTTATGTTTGGTTTGTGCTGGAGGTTTTGGTGTCTTTCTGGGACTGTGGACATGCATAGCAGAACTCGACCCACCCGTAACCACACACTGACCAGCAGAGTCCTCTTTTCTCTTTCCCAGATGATGGCACTGCACAGAACGCAGACTTCACTTTCAGACTACTGTGACATGCATAAATAACAGCGCAGGACAAAGCACACAAACTCAAATTTCACCTTAAAATAAAATAAAATAAAATATATACACTTACTGGCCACTTTATTAGGTACACCTGTAATGCAAGTTTCTAATCAGCCAATCACATGGCAGCAACTCAGTGCATTTAGCCATGTAGGCATGTAGGCATGTAGTCAAGACGATCTGCTGCAATTCAAACTGAGCATCAGAATGGGGAAGAAAGGGGATTTAAGTGACTTTGAACGTGGCATGGTTGTTGGTGTCAGACGGGCTGATCTGAGTATTTCAGAAACTGCTGATCTACTGGGATTTTCACGCACAACCATCTCTAGGGTTTACAGAGAATGCTCCAACAAAGAGGAAATATCCAGTGAGCGGCAGTTTTGTGGGTGCAAATGCCTTGTTGATGCCAGAGGTCAGAGGAGAATGGCCAGACTGGTTCCAGCTGATAGAAAGGCAACAGTAACTCAAATAAGCACTCATTACAACCGAGCTCTGCAGAAGAGCATCTCTGAACACACAACACGTCCAACCTTGAGGCGGATGGGCTACAGCAGCAGAAGAGCACACCGGGTGCCGCTCCTGTCAGCTAAGAACAGGAAACTGAGGCTACAATTCACACAGACTCACCAAAACTGGACAATAGAAGATTGGAGAAACGTTGCTGCTCTGATGAGTCTCCATTTCTGCTGACACAATCGGATGGTTACGGTAGAATTTGGCACCAACACTATGAAAGCATGGATTCATCCTGCCTTGCATCAGCGGTTCAGGCTGGTGGTGGTGGTGGTGTAATGGTGTGGGGGAGATTTTCTTGGCACACTTTGGGCTCATTAGTACCAACTGAGCATCAACGCCACAGCCTACCTGAGTATTGCTGCTGACCATGTCCATTCCTTTATGAGCACAGTGTCTCCATCTTCTTATGGCTACTTCCAGCAGGATAACACACCCTGTCATAAAGCTCAATCATCTCAGACTGGTTTCTTGAACATGACAATGAGTTCACTGTACTCAAATGGCCTCCACAGTCAGCAGAGCTCAATCCAATAGAGCAGCTTTGGGATGTGGTGGACAGGAGATTGGCATCATGGATGTGCAGCTGACAAATCTGCAGCAACTGTGTGATGCTTTCATGTCAATATGGAGCAAAATTTCTGAGGAATATTTCCAGTAGCTTGTTGAATCTCTGCCACAAATGATTAAGACAGTTCTGAAGGCAAAAGGGGTCCAACCTGGTACTAGTAAGGTGTACCTAATAAAGTGGCCGGTAAGTGTACAATTTCTTAAAAATATACTACTATATACACTCTTAAAGCTTGGTTGTTTTAACCCAATGTTGGGTTTTCCCATATTTGACCCAGCTAAAGTAATTTTCATTTCTGTACTGCAAAGAAAATCTAAAAACAAATAAATTCATAAATTTTTCTTTGGCTTTAAAAAAATAAAATTTGTAAATTAATTATATTATTCATTCATTCATTCCTTTATCAGGGTTAGCCACAGCGGAATGAACCGCCAACTATTCCAGCATATGTTTTGCACAGCGGATGCCTTCCAGCTGCAACCCAGTACTGGGAAACATCCATACACACTCATTTACACACACACACACACACACTCATACACATATGTGCATAAGCTTTCAGGGATACCGGAGCGCCCGGAGGAAATCCACGTTAACATTGGGAGAACATGCAAACTCCATACAGAAATGCCAACTGGCCCAGCCGGGACTTGAACCAACGACCTTCTTGCTGTGAGGCGACAGTGCTAACCACTGAGCCACCTGAAAATAGATTATATAAAAATAAATGTAATTCACAATAACAGCTACACCAGTATCATCTATGATCAATAGCACTGCAATGAGATTCACATATTCGGCCACCCGCTGTGGGTCTCATGAACAGCAGCCTCTCGTCTCCTCAAACACAAACTGAATTAAATTAATCTGCGTGAAAAGCTTCAATCTCTTCTTGACGTGTCAGTAATGGCGAACTCTTGTGCCAAGGCCAGCAGAGGCCTGCGTGACAGTGATACACGCGTCTAAATATACACCAGACGGACAGCAGCAGGTGAGAGAGGCCCTGCGCGAGTGTGTGTACATGTGTATGTGTGAGAGAGGGAGTAGTGGAGTGTGTGTGCGAGTATATCTTGTATTCCTAAATGTCCAAATGTCCCCACAAGTATAGTAATACCAGTAATATTTGACCTTGTGGGGACTTATTTTGTGGAACGGCTCATAAATCACACAGAATGAAGTATTTTGAGAATGTAAAAATGCAGATTGTGCCCTGTGAGGGTCGAGTTTAGAGGTAGAGTTGGGGAAGGGGGGTAAATTGTACAGTATGTGCCGGATATTTATCATTACGTCCATGAGAAGTCCCCATAAAGACACATAAAGCTGTACAAGTGTGTGTATGTGCAAGTCTCTGTGTGTTTGTGTCAATCTTGGTGTGTGTGTGTGTGCGTGCATGTCAGTCTAAGTGTGTAAATGTGTGTATACATCAGAATGTAATATGTGTAATGTGTGTATACATGTGAATGTATGTGTTAGTCTAAGTGTGTGTGTGCCTATGTGTGCGTCAGTCTTGTGTGTGTGTGTTTATGTATAAGTGTAAATGTGTGTTAGTGTGAGTGCTTGCATGTGTGTGTCTGCATGCGTGCATGTGTCAGTCTAAGTGTGCAAGTGTGAGTGCTTGCATATGTGTGTGTGTGTGTGTCCTTGTTGGGTGCGGTCAGGGCTTGAATGCCTTCTCCCCTTCACTGTGGATCCAGATCTGAACTAAACACAACCCAATTTTGGGTTTCTCTTCAAAGCCAGCTGGTCTGGCTTTATTTCTTTTCCTTTGGCCTTATTTTGGGGCTGATTCGCCATCTTTGAGTCTTGTTTGTATTTTCTGAAGCGAGCGGCCCGCAGCAGGTGCTGAAGGGTCCATCTTCCTGGAGAAGAGCGTTTTCGGACTGGTAAGTAAGCAGAAAACTGTCCAAACTGGTGTAAATGTGGTGTGTGTGTGGACGGCGGAGCGGAGGTCAATAAAGTGTGTGTGTCGCGCTGTTTCAACACGTCTGGTTTGAGGAATGCAGACCTGAGAATAGAAATAGAGAGATACAGATTTAGAGAGGTGGGCTTTTTTCGCTGCCTTCGAAAATAGATATGTTTGTGCAGAGATGAATGCGGGAGCAGCTCCACCGACTCTAATATTGAGGCAGGACTGATTTTAGGAGGGATTTCTATCAGTGAGAGCTTGAGGATGATTAGAAGTCACTTTATTTCTGACCCTCTGAATGTTTTGAACTGGAAGACGTGCATAAATAATCTTTGAAAATATATATTTTATTAATGGAATCACAGTTTGCAAACACTTGAAGTCCTTCAAAATAGACCAAATAAATATTTTGGGATTTTCTTTTAATTATAAAAAAAAAAAAAAAAAAAAAACACCCTCCCACCTCCCAAAAAAAATTTTTTTTTTATTATTATTAATTTTTTTTTTACATTTTCGGGTCATATTGGACTTTATGGTTCTGTGTGGTGTACCTTTTGGCGTCACAAAAACGTATTATTAGATAATTTTGTATGTATATGTTTGCCTTCAGACATAAGAGTAAAAATAGAGGTGCGCTTTTTTTTCGCTGCCTTCGAAAATAGATGTGTTTGTGCAGAGATGAATGCGGGAGCAGCTCCACCGACTCTAATATTGAGACAGGACTGATTTTATGAGGGATTTCTGTCAGTGAGAGTTTTTGTAGTCACTTTATTTCTGACCCTCTGAATGTTTTGAACTGGAAAACGTGCATAAATAATCTTTGAAAATATATATTTTATTAATGGAATCACATTTTGAAAACACTTGAAGTCCTTCAAAATAGACCATATAAATATTTTGGGATTTTCTTTTAATTATTAAAAAAAAAAAAAAAAAAAAACCACCACCCCCCCCCCTCTCCCAAAAAAAAAAAATATTATTATTATATGTATTTTTTTACATTTTCGGGTCATACTGGACTTTATGGTTCTGTGTGGTGTACCTTTCGGCGACACAAAAACGTATTATTAGATAATTTTGTATGTATATGTTTGCGTTTTGACCTAAGAGTAAAAATAGAGGTGGGCTTTTTTTTCACTGTCTTTGGAAATAGATATGTTGTGGTCTGTGGACTGATTTAAATATGGACTGATTTTAGGAGGGATTTCTGTCAGTGAGAGTTTTTGGAAGTCACTTCATTTCTGAACCTCTGAATGTTTTGACCTGGAGGATCTGCATTAATAATCTTTCACAAAATGTTTTGGTGATTGAACTAAAATTTGCAAACACTTGAATTCTCTCAAAATAGACTAAAAGTATATATTTTTTGGGATTTTTTTTACAATTATTTTTTAAGAGATTTAACCCACCCCCCCCACCCCCGCCAAAACCAAAACAAAACACTTTTACATTTTTCAGGTCATTTTGGACCCTGTGTTATATCGTGTACTTTTGGCATCACAAAAACTTTATAAGTTTCATAAAGCTCTTAAAACTATTTTTGTTCTTTTACTCATATCTCAGACACTTTTATTTTAACTTTTATTGATAAGCGTACGGTAGAGAACAAAATGACTTGCCTTGTGAAGTTTTAATTAATTTTCAGATAATTCCCAAATAATGTTTAACAGAGCAAGAACATTCTTCACAGTATTTCCTATTATATTTTTCATCTGGATACGTTTATAGTTTATTTTACTTTATTTTTCATTTATTTAGTTAGTTGTAGGAGTTTTCATGTTCTCCCTGCGTTCGCGTGGGTTTCCTCCGGGTGCTCCGGTTTCCCCCACAGTCCAAACACATGCAGTACAGGTGAATTGGGTAGGCTAAATTGTCCGTAGTGAGTGAGTGTGTGTGTGTGTGGATGTTTCCCAGAGATGGGTTGCGGCTGGAAGGGCATCCGCTGTGTAAAAACTTGCTGGATAAGTTGGCGGTTCATTCCGCTGTGGCGACCCCAGATAAATGAAGGGACTAAGCCGACAAGAAAATGAATGAATGAATGATAGTTAGTTGTAATAATAATAATATTAATATTAATAATATGTTATATAAATAATATAACTGCTAATGTAAATCTTAATATTAATACTATATAATTTTTATTATGTACACATTTGCCTGCAGACCCGAGAATTGAGTATAAATAGAGAGATACAGATCTAGAGAGGTGGGCTTTTTTCGCTGTCTTTGGAAATAGATATGCGGGAGCAGCTCCACCGACTCTAATATTGAGGCAGGACTGATTTTAGGAGGGATTTCTGTCAGTGAGAGCTTGAGAATTTTTAAATGTCACAATTAAACCATTAATTAATTTAACTTAGTATGCAATAATAAAATTAATAATAATAATTAAACTTTTTTGTATTTTTTACAATTGAACCTAAATTTGCAAACACCTGAAGTCCCTCAAAATAGACCATATATATATATAATAAACATTTTTACATTTTTGGGTCATTTTGGACTCTATTTTAAATAATGTAATTTTTGGTGTCAAAATGTGTAATAAGCGTTTCGGAAATATTTTAAAACATATATTTTTGTGCTTAATTCAGACACTTTTGGTTGATAAATGTACAGTTTTCAAATATTTGTGAAGTGTTGTTTAACAGAGCAACAACATTTTTCACAGTATTTACTACAATTTTTTTCTCCTTGATAAAGTTTTAGTTCAGTTTATTTAGTTACAGTTTAGCTGTAATAAACAAGATGCATCAAAAAAAAAAACAACAACTCTAAGATAACTATTATTATTAAAATTATATAATTTTGTATGTGCATGTTTGCCTGAGAATTGAAATAGAGAGAGACACATTTAGAAAGGTTAGCTTTTGACCTGGGAGATGTGCATTAAAACAATCTTAAAATAATATAAATATTTAGTAATAATTTACTCAGTTTTTATAGAGTGCACTTTTTGGTGTCAAAACTTTAAATGTTTCTGAAAATAATATATATTTCTGTTCTTTTGTCCATATCTCAGACACTTTTGGGAATCCTTTCATTGCTAAACTTTTTTTTTTTTTTTAATGTAGAATTATGTTTATGCAAGTAAAACATATTCACAGTTCTCAGCATAAATGAGCACACCTCCTTTAGAAAATGAATACTTTTATCCATTTCTCATTGAATATAATTTTTGGTGCATTCAAACAATTTATTTACCATTAAAATCCATTAAAATAAGACCTTGGTCACCTAATCTGTTAAAAACATTCATTTAAAAAATAATTAGGCATTCAGTGATTATTATTTCTTATTTAACATTGATTAAATACAGTTTAAAAAACATGACATAAAAGTCAAGACAACAAATATTTTGTTGCTTTAACTTATTTTAAGGTGGCACGGTGGCTCAATGGTTAGCACTGTCACCTCACAGCAAGAAAGTCGCTGGTTTGAGTCCCAGCTGTGCCAGTTGGCGTTTCTGTGTGGAGTTTGCATGTTCTCCCCGTGTTGGCGTGGGTTTCCTCTGGGTGCTCCGGTTTCCCCCACAGTCCAAACACATGCGCTATAGGGGAATTCATGAACTGAATTGGCCATGTATGTGTGTAGGGCAGTGGTGCAGTAGGTAGTGCTGTTGCCTCACAGCAAGAAGGTCGCTGGTTCAAACCTTGGCTCAGTTGGCGTTTCTGTGTGGAGTTTGCATGTTCTCCCTGTGTTCGCGTGGGTTTCCTCCAGGTGCTCTGGTTTCCCCCTCAGTCCAAAAACATGCTGCACAGGTGAATTGGGTGGGCTAAATTGTCCGTAGTGTATGTGTGTACGTTTTCCAGAGAAACATCTGCTGCGTAAAAACGTGCTGGATAAGTTGGCGGTTCATTCCCCTGTGGCGACCCCGGATTAATAAAGGGACTAAGCCAACAAGAAAATGAATGAATGTGTGTGTGTGTGTGTGTGTGTGAATGAGTTTGAGAGTGTATGGGTGTTTCCCAGAACTGGGTTGAAGCTTGAAGGGCATCCGCTATGTAAAACATTTGCTGGATTAGTTGGCGGTTCATTCCACTGTGGCAACCTCTGAATAGAGACTAACCTGAAGAATATTCATTATTCATTCTCAATATTCATTCACACCCTGCTAAAAAATCCAGCTTTACCAGCCTAGGCTGGATGGCTGGTTTTAGCTGGTTGACCAGCCTGGTTTTAGAGGGGTTTTGGCCACTTCCAGGCTGGTTTCCAGCCATTTCCAGCCTGATCTTACCTGGCCAAGCTGGAAAATGACCAGCTAAATCCAGCTAAAACCAGCTTGACTAGCCTGGTTTAAGCTGGACATAGCTGGTTTTGGCTGAGCTCCCAGCCTGCTAGGCTGGTCAAGCTGGTTTTAGCTGGTCACCTTCCAGCCTGACCAGCTAAGACCAGGCTGGAAATGGCTGGAAACCAGCCTGGAAGTGGCCAAAACCCCTCTAAAACCAGCCTGGTTGACCAGCTAAAACCAGCCAACCAGCCTAGGCTGGTTTAAGCTGGATTTTTCAGCAGGGCACTCATTCACTATGGACAATTTAGCTTACTTTAGCTTAGGAAACTGGAGCCCCCTGAGGAAACCCACGGGAACGCAGGGAGAACATGCAAACTCCACACAGCAATGCCAACCCTGCTGAAAAATAGGCTGCTTTTAGCTGGTTGACCAACCTGGTTTTAGAGGGGTTTTGGTCATTTCCAGGCTGTTTTCCAGCCATTTCCAGCCTGGTCTGAGCTGGTCTGGCTGGAAAATGACCAGCTAAAACCAGTTTGACCAGCCTGGTTTAAGCTGCATATAAGTGGTTTTGGCTGGGCTGGTCAAGTGACCCAGCCGAGGCCTCAAACCACCATGTTGCCTTCTAAGTGTCAATAATTCTTATAAAATTATCAATAGTGTCAAATAATTTAATGTAATGTATTTGTTCTTTTTACTCATATTTTGGGCCTGAAATTTGTTGATAAACATTAAAAACAAACCACTGCATCCAGAAACACTTTACTTATTTAATTGACTTTATTTTATTTTAAGCGAAAAAAAAAATATATATATATATATATATTATTAGTTGTTTTTGGATGAGGTTCACCTGCGTTTAATCTTCTATCAAGCATATGTGCACGGAAACGATCGAGTGAAAAACAAAACCGTTATAAAATCTCCAAAATGGCCGCCAAAACATAACTGGAGATGAAGCGGACAGCTACTGCTCAACTTCAGATGGAGGATTAGAGTTAGCAGAGTTAAATGAAAGAGTCCGACGGTCAACTTTACTGTCCTGACAGGAAAAATGGGAAGAGGTGAAAGGTTTTTGGTTTCTGTGGTTAATAAAACAACCACTGCTTTTGCTGGAATAGAGGCTGGACAGTTCCCGCTCTTTCGTAATGCTCTCAAGATCAACCAAAGTTTAATTTAAAAAATGAACAGAGTTAGCCTCTAAATGAACACACACACACACACACACTGACCGGCAGTTCTGTGACTGACAGGCTGTTCATGAACACACAGGTGTAATTCTCACCGCAGCCGCTAGTGCGCGCTCACGAGTCTCCAAACTTCACTCATCGTCACTGTGCGGACTTGATTTTCTTCAGACAAATACAACTCTAATCCGTATAATTATTAATAAATATTTCGTTTTTCTAGGTGCCAAACGAAGGACCAGAAAGCCTCAAGACCCATTTGATGGAGACACAAAAGCAGTGAAGAATATACAGAGGGAAAAGACAGAAAAGTTGAACTGAAGGTTATGAGCAAGTGATTGGTAAGGATGATAATAATATGCTATCTGTCTATGCGCATATTTACATGGCTTTTATTATAGGTAATAACTGGGACGGACAATTTTTAAACTTTATTTAAATCTAATAATAGCAATAAAAAATATTGAATATAACAAACAATGTTTTTGCAATACAATAAAATGCGTATATTAATAATTATAATCATTTGTATAATGTAGAATTGCACACGCGTTTGATTTAATAAACGTTTGTGCAATATTACTCCAAATACATCACTAAGTTTCCTCTCAAATAATGTAAGCTGGGTTAAAAAAAGTAATGAAATATAACAAATAAAAATAGTAAGCTGCTACTACAATAAAAAGTGACTCAAGGTTGTAATATATCCTATTATTTTTTAATCAAACACAGCTGAACAGTTGCTTTTTGTTACTCTTGAGCGCAACAATCAGTTTATATGCTCTGACGCTACAGAAAAGCTCTGCTGATTGGTTCCTGCTTGCATAATTACTGTACGCTTCAGCCCCGCCCACCTCATATAGAGCTTTATAAAGGAATAGTCAGAGACTTGAGTTTTAGGTATTGTTTAATCATCCAATTTTACATTCATTTAAATTTGTACATTTATAAAGAGAAAAATAAGAAGAATAGCCAGACCTTACGAAGAGAAAGAGATTTATATTGATATCTTCTTAATTTTTCAAGATAAACCTAAAAAAATTAATAATAAAATTAATTAAAATATAAAAAAAAACAACAACAATATTTTCACATTAATTTAAATTTGCACATGGATAAAACATTCACTTTAAAAATGCTGGGTTATTTTAACCCAATTCTGGGGGTAAAAGGGACTAATTTAACAACCCCTGGGTTCATTTTTAAGCTTAAACTAATAGGAGCATTAAGTTGTGTTGAGGATACTATGTGCGTCAGATCTGCCCACTTTACAACGAGCGAGAGAGAGGCTTATTATTATTAATACTCTTTAAAGACTTAATAAAAACGAAAAAAATCCATACGTTTTTAACACTAACAATAATATTGTACATTTATTTAAATTTGCACATGCATAAAATAAAAAAATAAATAAATAAGGATACTGCACGCGTTCAGGCTGATTTATATTTCTGCGTCAATCGCAATTGTATGTTCCTGCGAGTGATCGCATAGCCCTCGCCGATGCTGACGCGCATCTCTAAAAGAATGTAGCTACACATCGCAACCACGTGTAGAGTAAGCTCTGTGATTGGTCGGCTTGGTAGCCAGGGCCGGCGCGTCCATAGAGGCGACCTAGGTGGCCGCCTAGGATGGCAGTATAGAGAGGGCGGCTTTCGCGACACCTCCCTTACCACCTGCGTCCTCAGTTATGTCCGCGCATAGGCGACAAAATAGAGAGGGCGGCGTCAGCGACACTTCCCTCAGCACCCGCGTGTCCTCAGTTATATCCACGCATGGGGGGAAGAATAGAGAGGGCGGCATCCACGACACCTCCCTTACCACCCGTATCTTCAGTTATGTCCGCGACACCTCCCTCACCACCCGCGTCCTCAGTTATATTCGCGCATAGGCGACAGAATAGAGAGGGCGGCGTTCGTGACACCTCCCTCAGCACCCATGCATCCTCAGTTATATCCGCGCATAGGGCGGCAGAATAGAGAGGGCGGCGTCCGTGACACCTCCCTCAGCACCCGTGCATCCTCAGTTATATCCGTGCATAGGGCGGCAGAATAAAGGTCCGTGACACCACGACATTGAGGGCGGCGTGATAGTCCTCTGGCTAGAGCGGCACTTCTGCTTGCTCCGGCCCTGTTGGTTGCGCTGATGAGTGTGGGTGGGTCCGAGAGCCTCGCAAACCCATTAGAGCGAGTGTCGGGTCACATAAAGGAGCTCCAGGTGGAAACATTTGTTTTGTCTTTACCTCATGATTTAAATCTCTTCATGTCCACCGCTTCCCGCCTTAAAATGATTAAGTTTCACTTGTACATTAAGGAAGCGTTCAGAAAAAACAAAACACCAGTGAGGAAACTCAACACAGAGGAACATAAACACCTCACTGCCAACTAGTGTTTCAGAAGAGTTATTGCAGAGCAACACAAACAGCGCGCAGAATTATAAATGCACAACAACGCACAAGGTATGCTCCGTGGGTCACGCCGATCACTCGGCGCAGATTTATAAACCAGGCTTTAGACCCACCTACTTCACAAAGAGAGACTTTAATTTTATCAAACTAATTTTATTTATTAATTAAACAAATTTTATCAAATAAAAACGTAAAAGTCTTAAATTTATAAACAAGACAATAAAATTAATTACTACAATAAAACAATAAAAATATTACTATGCGCGTCAGACCCGCCCACTTTACAAAGAGAGAGAGAGGATGGGAGAGAGAGAGAGAGAGAGAGAGGGGTATATTTTTATGTCTTTAATTATTTGATCAAAACGAAAAAATGCTTAAGTTTTTAAAAAGAACACTAACAATAATATTTTACATAAATTTTAATTGCCACGTGCATAAAATAAAAATAAATAAAATGTATACTGCACGCATCAGACTTTACAAAGAGAGAGAGAGAGAGAGATTTGAATTTTACAACACTCAGAGTCCCTAGCTCACTTATTTTGACAATGCAGTTACTATAACCTGCTAGGGCTTGAGTGTCTACATCCGTTTACAGCACATTTTAGCTCTTTAAGTGGCTGTTTAAAATACTTTGAATGTTTTATATATTTTGTTACAGACATACAGTGTCATCCTGCAACTGTTTTGCAGTATATGAAATGTCCCAAACACTATTTTAACTGTCCAAAATAGGAAAAAAGTACTCTCTAATAGTCAAAGCAAGGTATAAAAAAATTCTGTGTTAAATATGCATTACAAAACATTCAGGAGAAAGTGTTTTATAGAAATTGGGACCACGAGTCCACATAGGTGGACATCATTTTTCTCTAAAAGTACATCATATCAAAAGATGATGCTTTTATTCTAATTAAGTTCCAATAAGCCCAAATAGCAAAGAGAAATAAAAAAATGCATGTAAAAAACACCTTGGGCCATGAGAGGATAATTTGCTTTGGAAAGTTTTTTCTCCTTTTGTATTTGAGAATGTTGATAAAGACTTTTCCTTACTATGGGAAAATGTTTTGTTTGGTTTTGTTATTATAAAATAGAAGCTTTACATAAAAAGAAATTATAATTTCTTAATCTTCTAATCAACAAAATTATTACACACAAATGTGATTAAATGTCAAACCAATAAGCTTATTTTAATATTTTACTTACTGAAATGCAGTATTACTTGGAAACTATTTCTAACTCTTTTACCAAAAAGGCTTTAAAAACAACTGAAATATGGAAATGATATAATCTTTTTTCTTTAATGTGTGATGCATGTACCCCTTACGTTTGTTTTTTCTTTTGTTTTTTTGTTGTTGTATTTTTTTTTCAAAATGTGTTTTTCATTTTCTTTATAATGTACTCTGATTGTATATTCTCACTTATTGCATAATAATAATAACACAAAAAAACCCTGCACGAAACACTTGAAAAGAAAAAAGAAAAAAAGGACTTGAAGTTTATCAAATAAAACAAATTTTATTTATTAATTAAATTAATATTCTCAAATAAAAACGTAAAAGTCATAAGTTTATAAATAAGACAATACAGATTTTACATATAGGCCTCTTTAAATTTGCACATGCATAAAATAATAAACATAAATAAGTATACTGCATGTGTTAGACCCGCCCACTTTACAGAGACTTTACTTTGATCTCTTCTTTAATTATCGAATAAAAATGCAAAAGTCATAAGTTTATAAACAAGACAATAATCATTTTACATGTATTTAAATTTGCATATGCATAAAAAGTGTACTGCATGAGTCAGACCCGCCCACTTTACAAAGATGGAGAGACTTGACTTTTATCTATTATTTCATTCTCAAATAACAACGTAAAAGTGATAAGTTTTTAAGCAAGACAATAATAATTTTACATTCATTCAAATTTACTCGTGCATAACATAAAAATAAAGAAATAAGGATACTCTACGTGTCAGACCCGCCCTCTTTAGAGAGAGAGAGAAAGACTTTGCTTTTATCATTAATTATCCAATAAAACGTAAAAGTTATAAGTTTTAAACAAGACAATAAATATTTTACATATATTTAAATATATATGCACATGCACAAAATAAAAATAAATAAATACTGTACACGTCAGACCCGCCCACATTACAAAGAGAGAAAAAGGCTTTGATTTTATCAAATAAAACAAATTTTATTTATGAATTAAACAAATTTTATCCAATGAAAATGTTAAAGTCATAAGTTTATAAACAAGACAATAATAACTCTATATTCATTTAAATTTGCATATGCATAAAAAGTATACTGTACAAGTTAGACCGGCCCACTTTACAAAGAGAAACACTTTAATCTCTTCTTTAATTGTCAAATAAAATGCAAAAGTCATAAGTTTATAAACAAGACTATAAATATTTTACATATTTAAATTTGCACATGCATAAAATAAAAAATGAATAAATACTGTACGCGTCAGACCCGCCCACTTTACAAAGAGAGAGAAAGACTTTAATTTTATCAAGAAAAACTAATTTTATTTATTCATTCATTCATTCATTCATTCATTCATTCATTTTCTTTTTGGCTTAGTCCCTTTATTAATCCGGGGTCGCCACAGCGGAATGAACCGCCAACTTATCCAGCAAGTTTTTATGCAGCGGATGCCCTTCCAGCTGCAACCCATCTCTGGGAAACATCCACACACACATTCACACACACACTCATACACTACGGACAATTTAGCCTACCCAATTCTCCTGTAACACATGTCTTTGGACTGTGGGGGAAACCGGAGCACCCGGAGGAAACCCGCGCAAAGGCAGGGAGAACATGCAAACTCCACACAGAAACACCAACTGAGCCGAGGTTCGAACCAGCACTACCTACTGCGCCACTGCCTCGCCAATTTTATTCATTAATTAAACAAA